AGTTCAACAGGAAAGAACTTTATGCCACTGTAGTTTTGCAATTTTCTCTAAGGTCAATATTGCACATGAAATGTCTAATGGGACATTGCTATGAAAATGGAAGCTAATTACAGGTTAGTGGCTAAAACAACACTCTTCTCTGGAGACCTTATGCACATAGGTTGAAGGATAAAACAGGGCTGAATGTTATTTGATTTCTTTGTGTTTATCCAAGTCTCGGGCCCTGGCAGGAAGGTAACATATGAAAAGGGACATTTTTGGAATAGTTGTCTTTGAATTATGCTCATGAAATACATACTGTGCTACGGAGGACATGTGGGAAAGCTACACTCTGACCGCATGACTAATTTTTAAAGCCTTGCATTGAGAGAATTCCCTCCAAGAACACAGCTGGGCTATTCCTTCGTGGACTGAATGTGTCAGTTCCGAATTGAACTGAAATGAAATTTCACTCCATGATGGCATTGTGAACTAAAGAGTAGGCCTGGCAGCTAGGATATTAGGTAGTAGTTCATACACCAAGAACTGTTATTTTATTAACTTCAAGAACATGTTTTACATAAAAACAGGCAACATCAGAAAAGCTTGGTTGATAAATGAACATAATATATCACAGATGATTTCATTCCACATTAACCTACATTTATTAGCTTAAACTGAAGGATTAGGAAAAAATTGGTTCTCATTCCATCTTTAATCATGGATACAAATTATTTGAAAGTTATTTAATTAGGATTCTGAAAAATCAAAGATTAACCTACACCATCTGACCCATGCAGCAAGTAATAAATTCAGTAATTTCAAAGAAAACATTGAATTTTTCTCCTACTAAATCGAAACCTCTTGGAAACTTGTTTAAATGCACCAAGTTCCCAGCCCACCTTTTTAGTATGCATGACCAAAATACTATTTAATTTCACACTCAACTAATCCTTTAATAATTTTCTTTCAGCCAGAATGAAAAAGGGTATTACTAATCTCCTAATAAATTTTTTAAAAAAGTTATTGGGATATGACTTTAACCTTGGACTAGTTTCAATTTCTTTTTATTTATTCTGAGAATACCCCAAAGATTAATGTCAATGGCAAGTGAGAAATTGCCCCTAGAGTATTGTTCAAGCTATATTTCTTACCACATTTGATTCGACTGGGATGAATTGATATTATTAGAATCTTTAACATCACTTTTAAAATGCTACTTTCTTTTAATATCAACAGTGACAGCTTTAAAACTATTACTTTAAATTAATAAAGTATATCACAGACAAAAATATACAATTTTACATTAAAGCAACATTAAGGGTCTCAGTTTAGTTAATCAAAAAAGAATATTGAAGAAATTTACAGGTATGGTTTAATTTTAGAGATTACTTTTCCTTTAGGGAAAAAGAATGAAACTAGATCTTTCATTTGTCTCCATGGACAATATACTGCAAACCTTATGATCGGAACACTTGCCAGTTAAATGCTCACTCACTGAAAAATGATCACAGCAGCCTTAGTGCTGAAGCCAAAAATAACAACAAATAAACAAAACACCCAACCAGGGACATTCTAAACTTCTACCTTGAATATCCCATTTCCTACCAGGTTATGACCCTTAATGTTACTGGATGGATGCTTGCATATCTGAGATGATTAAAAAAATAAAAGACTGGCCTAAAAGCACCTCCTTCTTTAGTATGTAATTACATGCAAACTAAAGATTCTTTCTGAGAGTCCCAGGGACCCCATTTGTACCTGTTCTGTGTATAAGCACCATTGAGCCAATTTTTAAAGCACTTTTCAGTAATCAAATGTTTAGTGTGTCCTTAAATTTCATTGATTTACCTTTCTTTAAACAAACAAAAAAGTGTGGGTGCTGTTTTACACTGTCCTTGTATCTGAATTAAGAAAAATGGTACTTTTGGAAATACTTTTAATCACTGTTTTCCCCCACTAGATTAGAAGACTAGAAGATCTTCATGAAATTTGATGATTAAACAAGGAAATGTTTATCTCCAAAGAAGCATATATTGACCCTCTACACTGCATGCACACTAAGGGTCTATTTGTGATTATTTTCTCAAACTCCCAATGGCTGACTACATGTGGAAAAGACTGGCCTTTAAACAGTCAACTGAGTTTTTTAAAAAAATCTTTGAACAAAAATATAATGTACCAATATAATTTGAATGACTTACAACTTATAGAAAAGATGCTATTTAAACATATGCCAGGTGATTCCTTAAAAGAAAAAAAAGCCCACATCCAAATGAATAATTATATTTAAACTACCTTCTTAGATCTTGGGTCTTTCCAAAATTCTGAAGTCACAATTGAGGAGACATGCCAGATATTTTTTCTATTGTTGTTTTCTTAGGAAAATTGGAAAGAATTTGGGAAGAGAAAGAAGTGAACCTTCACTCTGGCATAGGTCCTGGATAGCAAACTTCAGCCTGGGGCACATTTTTATGGTTAAATTAAAAACCTTTGAGAATAGGAGTTTATCATGGAAATGCTGACAGACCCTTAGCCAGAGAAGGGTTAGGGGCAACACAATAATATTAAGAAAGCTCTCCCTCAGCTCAGTCGAGCTTCAGCACAGGGGATAGAGTTGTCTAATGGATGCCACTGGCCAGCAAACAACCGTGATTTAATGCACTCGAGCCTTGGTCAGATGGTAGCTCTGTGACCCTCTAAGTCAATTTTTCTTTTTCCTTTTCTAACTGAAATATGCCTCAAAGGGTAAAGGATTGCAATTTTAGCTTTCATTCATGGATATATTGCTTTCTTTCAACAATATCTGATGGGCCTGTTAACCACTCCCCCACGAGGGATATTGAGGAGGTGCAGGAAGGTCTCATTGAATACAAAACAGAAAGTGTTTTCAGTAGTTTATTCATATTTCCTTTTCTCTGCTTATTTTAATATGCACCACGTGTGAGTTAGATGAGGGCTATGGTAAAAACATTTTCCATGACTGAAATCCTACTTTTCCTTCTAATGATCTGGAGCAAATCCCATATTCATTAATCATGATGAATAAAATGATTTCTGCTACACTGCTGAGAAAAAAAAACGTGTTCATTAATATGAACAGTTCTTATCTACAGAGATGATTTACATGATGCAAATAATGAAAGAGTTCTTCCTTAACTAGTCTATTATCAAACCAAAAAAAATGATTCTTAAAATTTCCTTGAAAATACCATATGGCTGGTCATGTGTCAGTACAGGAAAGACAGTTGTCATTTCCAGGCCTCCACTATAAGAGCTATATCAAACATGTGGAAAAAATATGGAACCACTTGTGGTGATGATTGAATTGATAATTATAGAGATACACTGCCATAATTGAACATATTTACTCTATGATAAAGTAAAAAAAAAGATCAATTTGGTTATAGAAATTCCTCAAAGAACACCACCACTTAATTATTTAAAACTTGAACTATCCCAAGAATGTTGAGAAAAAAAATTAGAAAGCACTGGCTAAGAGCAAAGCAATCTGGATACACCAACATCATCAGCATGCCTTGTGCTTGTCTGTTAGCCCTATGAGTACATCTGACATTCAAGATCCTGGTTGCTTAGTGCTAGAGAGATGGCATTCCATCTGATTACTCAATATTTCTACTTGACAGGTCACATTCCACTGTTTATTCAGCATAGATCACTTAGATTCTACAGCAATGCACTGCAATCCTCATGCTGACTGGGCCCTCATTCCTCTGAGCTGCGTTCTGCATGTGCTGAAAAACACTCCCACACTGCCCCGGGTTTCAGTGGAAAAACACCCAGGCCATGCACTGTATATGTGGACACTGAACGCTGTAGCAATGCATATAATGCCCACAGAAAAAGCAATAATTCAGAGAAAAAAGGGAAAATGACAATCTACTGCAAGTAGGTCTCTACCCATAGGATTCTTTATATTCACACACTTAAGAGTTGTGGCCAAATATACATCTACTCCTTAACCTTAGGATAGTGTGTTGCTTATAGTTCCAGAGAAAGCAGCAATTTCTGACCAGGTCAGTGCACTTTACTAATATGTAATCTATCTAGGAACTAACATGATCCCTGGTGTTCTTTGTCCTATTTCCTGTTTCCCCCAAACCAATTTGAACTGATTTACTGACTTATGCTGCTTTGTGATTTCATGTGTTATCATTTCTGTATTAGAAGCATAAGAGAAGAAAGTTTGGGAGTCTGTATTGCAAAGGTAATGATGTGTTGTGATTTTTAAAATCTCTATGAATGTAGATTGCAGTTCAAGGGCCAAAGAGTAAAAAGCAGTAGTTGAAAATCAGGGTGACTGAAAAGTCACAACTTATACAAAGGTCATTCAGAAAATTTGAGAGTCTCAGATATTAAAATATATTTAAAACTGAAAAAATAAGTCTCATTAGCTATCCAGTTAAAATTTTCTTTTTGGGAGGGGTTACCGGGGATCAAACTCAGGACCTTGTACTTGTGAGGCAGGTGCGGCAGCACCGAGCTAAATCTCTGGACCCAGTTAAAAATTTTTGAGATATTACTAACTGTAACAGAGCTGGGTAACAGAGCTGAGCAACTTTAGGTGGGACACTAGTTGGGTCCTGCCTCAGACACCTCTATATTCTTCTTTCTGAATATTGCCATAGTGAACCAGAAGCAGCAGGCCCTCAGTCTGAAATAATCCATTTTTCAGATCAAACTAAGGCCTGGTGACCCCAGCATGGAGAGAGATTTGATTACAGAAGTGAAAATATAGATATCACTCAGAACTGGCTTCAAAGACCAAAAAAAAAAAAAAATCACTTTGGATAGCTAAAAAGAGTAGTATTTAAAAATCATCCTAGGGAATGGAAGTTTATCCTTAGGGCTGTCTTTTGGGCATTATATCCCGCTGATCCTGGGAGACTAGGTAACCTAAAAGGTACAGATATAGTCAAGTGTGGTGGTGCACTCCTAAAACCCCAGCACTCTGGAAGACTGAGGCAGATCGAGGCAGAAGGATCTCAGAAGCTTGAGCCCAGTCCCAGCAATTTAGTGACTTAGCAAGATCTTGTCTCAAAACAAAACAATAAAAGTAAAAAAGGTCTTGAGATGCAGCTCACTCCAAAGGCTCTGGGTTCAATTCCCAGGTCCACCCGAAAAAAGTGTAATTAGTTTATTTCCTTAAAAATCACTCTAGATAGTGTTCTGCTATGCTTTCTTTTCAGCCACTTTGCAAAGCACTTGTCTCTATCCCAGCTCTTCAATATGTGGATTTCACACTACATGTGGGCTGCATGCACAGGACCACAGTTTCACGAAAAAGCAGGTAAGAAAAAAGCACAGGAGCTTACTCCTCTTTCTTTTGAAATTCCAGCCCCATAGAGCACCTGGCAATTTATTGCTCTTTTCAACTGGTTGCTTCTTTCCTGTAGATGTCTGATACGGACCATACAGACCCTCACTCATCACGCACAAGACAAGCCTTGGGGTCTGCACTGGCACTAGCAGCAGCTAATGTGAAAGCAGCATTTCTGGGGCAACATCAGTACATCTTCCTGGGGAGACAGTTTCAGGGGAGGATGTATTGTCAATTTCCTGGGTCAGGCTGTTTGTCACAAGCCCATTCTGAATGCATAACCCACTGCAGCAGATGGTTATACTGAAGAAAAATGATTCCCTTTTTAATAGGATTGTGAAGGAGAAGGGGTGTATAGGCTGAAGTATAAAATGGCCATGTTCTAAACCCACAGAAAAGAACGATCAAGTTATCATTCTAGATGCCTTTCTTGTCTGGACATTTTAGCATCTTAATAGCACTCCTTGATCCGCAGCAAAATCAAAAAACATGTGTCTACACTCAAAGGCCCGAAAGATTCGCAGCAAAGATTCTCAACTAAATTCTCTGCACTCAGAGGGTTAACATGTGCTATATTACATACTGCAGATCCTATCTTGACCAATGAAAACATTCATTGTTTCTATGTTTAAAAAAAAATTGGACGTTAGCCTTAACCCTTTGAGGACCCTATTAGTGACAAATTACCACCTTCACAACACCAAGTGTTGTCTCACTCAGAAAAGGGAAATTACTACAAAAGTACCCCAAACACGCTCTCTGTTCTGCCATTCAAGCATTGAATGCTAGATAGGTCAGATGAAACTGTTTTACAGAAATTTTGGGGAAAAAAAATCTAACGTCTCAAAGGGTTAAGCTAGGACTTTAAGTAAAAGGGTCTCATTAAAAGGGCGAGTTGGGGGAGCGAACAGTCTCGGAGGAGCTTGGGGAGTAGTCTTCGGATTCTGAGTTGAGTTCTGGCGGAGCTGGCTGCGCCTTGTACCGGCTCCTCACATCCTGGTTGCGTCTTCGTCGGAAAACCTGCCTCTCCTTATCAAGAGCGGTGGTCTAGCAGGGGCATAAAATGAGAAAGAGGACAATTAGGCCGAGGGAAATGGCACGAGAAACTTTCTAGAACATTGGAAAAACATGCTGGCCAAGTTAACTGGTCCACGATGGCTCACTTTGGTCAACAGTCTCCACTCTTGGGGAGCTCTCTGCTCCCTCACATGGAGCGCTCATGACATCAGCAGGCACAGGCAGGATGGATGATGTCACAGGTTGGAACTCTCCCCAGCCCTGCCCAGACTTCTGCTAGCTCCACATCTATTACCCTTGGTGGTAAAGGAGTGTGGCTGAACCTCAGGGAAAGATTGGTTGAATTTTAATGAAACTAATGCCTGAGATTGAACATGACTTTGAGTGCAATTAAACCAAATGTAGACTTTTTCATGGATTTCATTTAGCAAAATTCATTTTCATCTTACTATGAAGCAAATATGAAACTGAGGTTTATTTTTGTAAGGATCCCAATGCTTGGTCTCTATGCCACATTTTCCTGAGGAAACCACAGATGATTCCCCAGGATGTGCTAGCTGGCTGTAGCTCTGGAAATTATTATTACATCAGAATAAGGAACAGCATGACTTCACAGATTTAATGGGTGTGGGGAGAAACAGGGTCATTACAGTGAAACCTTACACAGAAAACAGAAGAGCAGGTACAAAGCCTGAAGAAAAATATAGAACACATATAAAAGTTGAAGCCATCCTTATTTGAAAGTCCCTCTTTAAAAGGAGGTAGCCTGGAGGTTATTCTGCTTTTAAGAGATTACTTTATTCTATAGGGATATACGCCACCATTTTTCCTCTTGAGAATTTACTGTTAGCTTCTTCAAAGAACTCAGATAAATTTATAGCCAGCCTGGTTCTAAGAACAAAGTGAAAACTAAACCTCTCATACAACTGCTGTATAGCATTAGAACAATCTTAGATCTAAAATAGAGCAATCAAAGTACCAAAATGAAGTAATAAAGAGAGAAAGAGACACAGTGTGCAGAACAACTACAGTAAATGGCTTCGTTAGACTGAACTGTTCCACTTTAAAAGCTATCCACACACTGAATCCCAGGGTTACAAACCAATGAGGAGTACAAACTTTAATAATTCACTTTGTTTCACTAGATTGCTAATACAATGATTCAATAACTGGTTTGTTGAAATGTCTACCTTTGATTTTTCAACTTGTTGAATTTTTAAGAACTCTCACATGTATAGTTATTGGTCTTATACCCATTGATTTTATGATATGTTCAGCATCATAAACTTAAATTCCTAACTTTATTTAAAACATTGTAAAGTCATAACACATGGCAGCTGGCTTTCAAAGCAAACTGAACATGTTCTGTTTGTGTAGAGTTGAATGTTGTGAAAAACAGATGTCTATTTAGTCTGACTTACATAAAAAGCATTCTGTACTTATTCCAGGACTAACATAAACTCTTCTCCTAGTCATAAAAAAATAGTTCTATTTCATTCTTAAGGAAGGAAATGTCATTGGCATTGGGCTGAATTTGGACTAGTAAACACAGGCAGTCAGATGTGAGGGAGAAAAGCACCCAGGGCTTGTGGTCAAGAATTCTGTGTCCTTCTCTGTATGTCCCTGACTGCATGAGCCACTCACTCACTTCTCTCATTTATTAAATAAGGATCAAGAATAATTCCTTCATACCCTACAGAGTTGCTGTAGATAAAAGTATGTGTATGCTTTCTAAACAGACAAGTTTCCAGAAATAGAAGGTGTTCTTTCTTTTTCACAGTTTGATCTAAGATAGTGTTTTAAAAAGAATAACTGTAGGTCAGAGGAAACTAATGTAAAACAAACTCCCTGTTACAATTTAATTCAGAGTTTTTCCCCTCCTTTCTTTACTGTCATTGACCCAGTCTGAATATTCAATGCAGCACCACACACAGTGATTAAATAGGTGGCTTGTTAAATAGACACCCATTTTTTGATTCTTATTGTATTTATTATTATCATTATTTGGATTGAGGATTGAACCTAGGACCTTTATATCTCGCTAACTTATTAAGCTGTCAGGATAGGCTTGAATTTACAATCTTCTTGCCTCAGCTAGACTGCTAGGATTACAGGAGACCACCACTATAGTTTGGCCTTCTTTGAATTTTTAAGGTCTATACTCATCACTTTTGTGATATTTAAGATAATCTATTCAGTTACTCCAAGTCATACTCTTGGTGGAAGCCACTGAAGTAGGACATTTCTTTATGAATGACTTAATCCAATTTGTACAGAAACTAGTGGTATTAAATGTCAAGCCCATGCTTGGAGAATCTAATTACCTTCATTTTCACATTTATTTCTTCAAATCATTATAAGGAAAATAACAGTCTCTTCCTTTCTTCTCCTTCTGCCTAGTCTTGCCATATCCCCATTTAAGTGGTCAGTTTTGCCTACTCTTAACAAATCTCTTCAGTTAGCAGCTTTCTAAATGTTTCCAACTGATTTGCTCTCAAAGATGTTCTGGAGGGTGTCTGTTCATAGGTCTCTGTTCCTGGGGCCCTGGCTTGGCTTCTCCCCAGTTCCATGGATTGTGGTTAATTTTATACGGCTTTTTTTCCATCTCTATTCCCAGACAGATTACTATATACTGCTACCCCATGCATCTTGCCTACACCCTTATTGTCACCGTTTTCCTTAACCACACTGAAGAGTCTTTCAAGGGCCAGGACAAGTCTTAGGTATCTCTGCATTGTCCACAGTTCATAGCATACAACAGATACTATCCATGGCTCTCTGGCTTTAAAATATGGGAAAGTCCAACAGAGGTCACCCATTTGTCTCTGGAGCACCTAATGCCTAGTACATCTTGTGCACAACTGACAGGTCAATTTGCACAAGGTCTGAATTATTTACAGTTCCTCATAAAGGGTAATTCCTTGTACTATCCTTGGCAATGAGCTTACAGTACAGTTTTCTACTGTAAAGTCAGTAGGCTGTCTCCTTAGTGCACACTGGATTTTATGGGACAGCATGTATTTGCTCTAAGGTATGGTAATTAGCCATACCTTAATTTCTCTTTGAACTCCTTACTCCCATAATACGTGATTCCAGTGAGGATGACTCTACTCTATCTCTGGGGGTAAGTTGAGTATGGGATTATACCAGAAGCAAGACAGGGCTTACTGCATTTCTCAGTATCTATTACTGGCTCAGAATGCACACCAAACCCAATCAGAAGAATGCAAATGAATCTTTTGCTAGGACTTCACCTTTATATGGATCTTAGTTGAGAGAACAGTAGACCAAGAGCTGTTTCCCACATCCTGGTACACTTATGTCAAACTAAAGCCAACTCATGGAAGCCAGGTTGGGGGCAGAAAGAAACCAAACTTGAACTGAACTCTGAATCTATCCATCACTGAAGCCAGATCCCATCCATGGACCTTTTTGGTTACATAATACCATACATTTTCTTTCTGCTAAAGCTAGTTTGGTTTGTGCTTTCTCTCCTTGCCATCAAGCAGTCCTGTGTATCCCTGAATGTACGTTAGTCATTCTCACCTCTGCATCCTGGTTCAAGCTCTTTACCAAACTGAAATGACCTCTCCTCTCCTTCCTTATGCCCACACACATTTATTTATTATCTAAGACTTTACTACATCTCATCTCATCGCATTTTTTTATTAAGCCCTCAGGCAAGAACTGTCTTGACCAAACTTTTGGCACTTAATTGCATAGTGACCCTCTGTGCATTTCTCCTAATACCATTTAAATTGCTCTATAGTATCATATAAAACTTAACTTTTGAGAATTCTTAGGAGACTGTGGCATATATATTAGGTGGGTATCACATACTTCTTAATTAATGCGGAATTGTTTTAGGTGAATATGTATTTTCTGAATAATAACAAAACTTAGAATGCAAAGCAACTCTATAAGACAAAAGGTTAAAAGTATTAAAAGTCAATATTTAGCTATACAATTCATGCTTCAAAGATGATCAAATTCTTATGTCTGATTAAATTAATATTCTCATATCCATACATTTGTTCCTTCAAAAAATTTACTATATAAGCAATGTCATATATGTCCTTAGAACTTTAATTGACTGTAAAATTAACTTGCCTCTAAAATATGTGAAGTTTATTTTACACAATGAAATTCTATAGCTTCATATGCAGTTAAGAACTGATGAATTTAACAAGAGAAAAGAATTATATGTTATATATATAGATAGATAGACATAGACAGATAGATATTGCCATAAAATAGGTTACTGAACTGTTAATCTCCAGTCTTCAAAGCATTTGAAACATAATTGTTTTCTGAAGTGTGGTATCACAAATTCTTGGGCCTTTCGACCATTTTAACAGGAAGATTTATTCTTTATCTGTCCTAAAATATTCCAAATGTCAAGGAAATAGGATCACTCCTTTTTATACTTAGTTTTGCAAAGTAAGAATATTCTCAGGTAGAGAGGCGCCATTAACACTTAAGTGTTAAATTGCTTACAGATTACTTATTTATGAGTTATTTTGTTCAAGGTTTGTAGCTTTGTTGGAACCAGCATGAATGGACTTGCAGCAGAAATCCCAAATGTCTCCTCAGTGAGTTACCACTTCATTAAGAGCTCCTAGGAGAATCTGAAGACTATGTTATCATCTTTTTTGTGCTAATTAACACAGATTAGAGGTGAACAAAAAATCTCAAGAGATTCTGGTGCTGACCAGTGGTAACCAGTATGAAGCTCTAACCTGGCTACTTCGAGACCCTATGCTGCATCCTGGTTGAGAGCTATCCAGTGGCCTGAGGGAGTCTGATCGAAAGAACAAACAGTTGATGGCATACAGAAAAGAGCTAATATAAACCTGTCCCACGCAGTAGAAACATTGCATAGACCTACTTCAAACTATAAGCTTTTCACTATCATAAAGCCCCTGGCAGCTACCACAGCAAGTGTGAAAATTGAAGAAGGGTAAAATAATGCCATTTACTTCAGCAACTCAGGCGGCTGCATGCACAGTAGCTGGAAATTGTAGAGAAAT